CTATGCTAGCGTTGTTTAAATTTATATAGGAGTTTGATTGTGGCATGAATGAGTAGGAAGTTTTGGAATTCACTATTCAATTTTTCTGCTTGCTAGTTTCGTTTAAATTCGTATAACAAAGCACTGTTTGTATGCTTCGTTGTGGAATTATTTTTTCGTCGTCTTCAACACGTTCTTTGTTATTTCAAGCAGGCATCTGTGTGTTCAGCAGGGGATAGTGCTGCTTACCATCGGTCTTCTGTCTTTGGTGATGATGTGGTTATAGTGGCGTAAGATTGTCTTATCCACAAATCTATTTTGACTTGAGCTCGCTTTATTTCTAGTTAAAATTTTGTTTTAACTTGAAAAAATCTAACATTAAATCTCTTGTTTTCTTGTAGTGCCTATCGAACCGCACTGTGCAAGTCCAAAAGGGGTGGCTTTAAAGATACTTATCCTGATGATTTACTAGCACCAGTGTTGAAGGTCGTTTCTTACTTTTATTCTGCTGAAGCCTAAAGTTGAGAATTTTGTTATAAATAGTTAATGCGTAATTTTTTTATTTTTTTTTCTATCTCCTGCTTTTGTGTTGCAGGCTTTGATAGAGAAAACAAATGTTAATCCAAGTGAAGTTGGGGACATTGTTGTGGGCACGGTTTTGGCTCCAGGTTCCCAAAGAGCAAGTGAATGCAGAATGGCTGCATTTTATGCTGGTTTCCCTGGTATATTCTGAGAGCTTTCGTCATTCGTCACCTTTTCTTTGGCATAAGAACTTTTGATTTCTCATTTTACTGTTCGGCATGCAGAAACTGTACCTGTTAGAACCGTGAACAGGCAATGTTCATCAGGTCTGCAAGCTGTAGCCGATGTTGCTGCAGCTATCAAAGCTGGGTTTTATGACATTGGTATAAAATCTAAGTTGTCTATACTTCTGCACCACGAAAAAAAATGAGGGTAGGTAGTTTGAATCACTGATGACACTTCCTTTCTGAACTAGGAATTGGTGCTGGGTTAGAGTCGATGACTGTTAATCCTATGGCTTGGGAAGGATCAGTCAATCCAAGGGTAACCTCATTTTCTGCACTGTATTTGAATTTTTATTGGCTCTGGCAACAGTTCAGTTGGTGATTGTTAATAGCATTCAACAAAAAAAATTCCCAGGTGAAGACAATGGTTCAAGCACAAGATTGTCTCCTTCCAATGGGTATCACTTCAGAAAATGTCGCTCATCGTTTTGGAGTAACAAGGCAGGAACAAGATCAGGCTGCAGTAAGTTATAAATGATCTGCTTGACAGAATCTTTAAAAAATGAAGTTGCATGTTGACGTCCTTCCTAACTACCTTTTCAGGTTGAGTCTCACAAGAAAGCTGCTGCTGCCACTGCGTCAGGCAAATTTAAAGATGAGATAATACCAGTTAAAACCAAGGTACCAGGAGAGTTTCAGATGAGAATTTATTGTACTTCTACTTCCTTTACTCTTCACATGAGTTTATATTTTCTCCTCTTCTTCGGATAATGTAAAGATTGTGGACCCTAAATCTGGGGATGAGAAGTTGGTGACGATAACCGTTGATGATGGAATCCGACCAAACACTTCAGTGGCAGAACTGGGCAAGCTGAAAGCAGTTTTCAAGAAAGATGGATCAACCACTGCTGGTAAGTAGAACCGTTGCATCTGAATTTTTTTTGGAAGCATAATTGGCCTATACCTATATTTCTACTCTTCGCCTCAGGGAATTCTAGCCAAGTGAGTGATGGTGCTGGAGCTGTGCTTCTCATGAAGAGAAGTGTTGCCATGCAGAAGGGACTCCCTATTCTTGGTGTATTCAGGTTCTTAAAAATACATGAATGAATCTTACATTTGTGTACTTGGAAAAAACTAGTTTATGCACAAGTTGCTGTACATATTTTAAATCTCCTGTCTGTCTATTTCCATGAATGACATTTTGAGGTTCATTGCCCTGCTATAATCATGAATGAACTATCTACTTTGGCTATAGTTTCTGGACTGACTTTTAATCTTTAAGTATAGTTGCGGTAACTTATCATTCTAGAACTTAATGCTGCAATGACAAACCTCTAGATTATTAGTCAATTGTTGCAAAGTCTCTACATGCTGGCTGCATATGTAGAAATAGCACTGCTTCAGTTGTATCGATAATCTATTGGGAGCTCTATGATACTACTACGAATCTTTCTATTTATAGATAGAAAGCTCATTTTTGTCGTGTGAAAAATCTTCTTCCATGTGCCGTGCAGGAGCTTTGTTGCCGTTGGTGTGGATCCTGCAGTCATGGGCATTGGTCCAGCTGTTGCTATTCCAGCTGCAGTCAAAACTGCTGGTCTTGAACTTGGGGATATTGATCTTTTTGAGATAAATGAGGTACCTTTTTTTTTTTGTTCTCCACATAAAAAGGAAACAGAAATAAGAGGACATTAGACTTCTTTTAAGAAAGAATGTCAGCATTTCATTATTGATAATCTCCAGGCATTTGCTTCACAATATGTATACTGCCGTAAGAAACTTGAGCTCGATCCTGAGAAGATCAATGTCAATGGAGGTGCCATGGCTATTGGACATCCCTTGGGTGCAACAGGTACATCTGTTAATATATAACTGTGATGATTTGGGACATATTTTTATTAAAACTAGAAAAGATTTCGTATGTCTGTCCTTGTCGCTGGTGCCTGAGGCATCTTCTGTGCTTCTGCATTAAAGCTGAAGTTCTGAATCTATCTTATTTATATTCATTTTTTACACAATATTTCCACATTACATTATATAAAAGTTTGCCGCCAAAAGTTATCCAACCCAACATTGAAATGTAGTCTAATATTCTAAACAAATTCGTAGCATATGTTTTAATTGCTTGTTGCTTGGTTATTTCGACAGGAGCTCGCTGTGTTGCTACATTATTGCATGAAATGAAGCGCCGTGGCAAAGATTGTCGTTTTGGCGTTGTGTCAATGTGTATAGGTCTCTCTCTCTCTCTCTCTCTCTCTCTCTCTCTCTCTCTCTCTCTCTCTCTCGTTTTGTACAACAATGTTAAAGCTCGAAATGTCTCGTCTGTGTAGGCACTGGGATGGGGGCGGCTGCTGTGTTTGAGAGGGGTGACTCCTGTGACGAGCTTTGCAATTCACGTACAGTTGAGACACAGAATTTTCTGTCCAAGGATGCTCGATAAACACCCATGCCCACCCTTCACCAAGTTGCACTGGATATTGAATATGGAATTCACAAGCCAGTAATAACTTATGGATGGTGTTATCACAATAATCGGTCTCTGTTAGAGGCCTTCTATGGTGTTATCACAATAACCGATCTCTGTTGAGAGACCTTCTGCTTCTTTACAGAACTGTGTTTGTACTGCACGCATTTTAGTATCAGTTTCTGCCATTTTGTTTTCCTTGCACAACTTCATGAAACCGTGCAAACGTGCTTTGTTATCAGTTTCCGACGATGCCCATTTTTCTACTAGCTAAACTCTGGATTTTATTATTTAAATAAAAAAAAAAATTAACTGGACAAAAATAAAAAAAAAAAAAAAAAGGCTGTCCAGCCGTATACTGAGAATAGGTTTTCAATTTTAAAACGTATTTTCAGAATACGTTTCCAAAACAAAACGTATTATCATGTCACGTTTTATAACGAAATAAATTTTTAAACATCATTAATTTAATTAAATCGCGATTAAGAAAATTAACGTAAAATAAAACGTACTTTCATAATACGTTTTACAGGAAACGTATTTTCAAAAAACGCTTTAAATTTAAAAACGTATTTTTAATATACGTTTTTTGTTTTTAAATAAATTTTATATACTAAATTAAAAAAAAAAATTAGTAAAATTTACGAATTTTTTTTTTAATTGAAAA